AATAAAAAAATTTAAGACAAAAAATTAAATTAATAAAAGATAAAAATAAATAAAATAATAAAAAAATTTATAATTTAAAAATTATATAAAATAAAATCAGATAGATAGATAGTTATTTATTTACAATTGTTATTTTATATTAAATATATCTTTTACATTGCAATTTGCAATATTACAAACATCGATCATTTAAAAAAATTATTTACATCATTTACAATAAAAATTGAAAGTTAATTTTCTATGTTGTACATTGTTGTCCAATATCGATCTCAATAATGAGATTTTAAAATAATTTTATTTAGATTTTAATAATAAGATTAAAATTTGAAATCATATAATCTATTGGCAATATTTGTATTAAAGATACATTCATTTTGTTATATAAAAAAATAAAATAATATAAAATTAAAATATTTAATTCGAAAAAATATTTTATTATTTCAAATGATTATAAAAAATAAGAACTCAAAAAAAAAAAAAAATAAAAAGTTAAAGAAAAAAATAAAAAAACGTGAGAAAGAAAAAGAACATATCAAGAAAATTAATTCAAGTCATTATTTTAGATGATGATTTACATTAGTTGAATTATATATATTTGAATGTAAATCATTAAATTTTTTTTTAAAAAGTTGTATAATAATAAATATTTATTTCGTCAATTTTTGAAATGAAACTTTGCTAATAAAAATTAAAAGTAATGTTACCTCTGTAAAAATTTAACCTATAATTCAAGAAATGAAAAAATATTCGTATAAATATAAGTATAATATCTATATATTACTTTCATTATTCCTAAAACTCATTTCATAAAAATTGTAAAATTTAATCAATACGGAAAGATTTAATAAAAGTTTGATTTGATACTTATTTTTGAATAAAATTTTAAATTATCACTTAATAAAGTTTAAAGTAAATTTTTACATACGTATACATATAATAATATATTTTCAGATTTTTAATTTCATTTAAAAATGGCTAAATAATATTTTTTTTAGATGATAAAAATAATTTTTTGTATTAAGAAATGATTATTTATTTAATTTTTATTTCATTTTATTATTTAACTTACCTGAATAAGAGAGAAAAAAATCATGTTCATTGCATTAATAATTTTTTAAATAAAAATTTATTTAGAATGCAATAAAATTATAAAATATTAAAAGCTTTGTATTTAGAATTATTGTATTAATCAATTGTTTCATAGATATCTATGTTATATATTTAAAATGTATTAAATTGTATGTGCATGATCGAAAAATATAGATTTCTATTATTTATATTTATTATAAAATTTGTATTAATTTTTTTTTAATCTATTATTTATTTATAATTTTTATAGTCAAATTATGTATTAACTTTAATTATAATCACTATTAAGGTTATGATTGTTTTTTATACTGAAATGTATAGAAAACTTCGAATGTATAGGAATGGAATAAAAATTGAACATGCTGCGCCATCTCGTAAATATTTTTGGAAAATGTTTCGTTAATGTTAGACATTTAGCACAGAGATGGCGACACTAGTAAATTCCAATCTCTATCTTACTGTCTTCAAAAAGATATTTTTAATTTTTACCTTTTTCGAGAGATGGCGCAGCGAGTTAATTCTTATTCTACTTTATCTACTTTGAAGAAATGTTTTTGATTAGAGTTAAAAGATGGCGCTGCTACCCAATTCTTATTCTATCTTACCTTGCCTTTGAGAAGATGTATCGAATTGTCAGTAGATGGCACCACTTACACAATAATAAACTTTTATCCTATTTCTATCTTTTTTTTAACTATTTGCTCTCTTTATTTATATGTGTTTGATTTGCGGTACTCCAGAGATGGCGCTGATTCCTGAATTTTTACCTTCTCTGTCCTTTATTATTACTTGCTTTCTTTGTCTATTGTTACTCTAGGTGATCGTAAAAGTATGAAATGTCAATTAAACGCACTTCGATTATTTTTTTTCATTATTTCTCTATCATTTCTCTTTTAAAATATATATTTCTCTTTTATAATATATCCTAATATTTAATATAAAAAAATTTAAATTAAATATTATATTCTCGTTTTATCATGATTATTTTTAATTCGTAAAAAATACATATATCTTATGATACATAATGCAAACATTTTAATGTAAGATATTATTCGATAAAATAGGAGGGAATTTTGAAGCATTCTATCAAAAAATAATTAATTAAAAATTTGTTTGTCGAATTTATTTTTTCATTATTTATAATTTTCTAATATTTATCTAATAGATGCAATTAATTACTAATGTCAATTGTAATTGAACAAAATATAATATTGCACTGTACGTATAGTTGGAATGATAATTATTATAAGCAAATTATTAATTCACAATTTTTTTTTATAATTCAAAAAAGATTTAGAGTGCATCATGTTTATTAAATATTTGATCTCTGATGCTATGTATATTTTATTATTTTATCTTTCATCACTATAATTTTTTTAATCATTTCATATATAAATATATTTTAAATATTGGAAATATTTAAAGATTGTATGCAGTATAAATATTATTTTGAAAAACATTAAATTCAAACATTTTTTTTGAAAAACATATAATTTTATTTGTATTCTTAATTTAATTTTTTATTAATGTATAATTTTATTTTTGTACATTTATATAATATTACAAGATTATTTTACTTTATATTATCTTATTTTACTGACATATTTTTACAAAAACGTATCTTACAAAATATAATAATCATTATATTAATTATGAAAGATAAACTACTTTACATATGTAGAGTTATATAATTCAACTTTGAATAACAAAATTTCTTCATCTTATAAGTACTATACTAAACAAGTATACATATTTACATCAATCTATTAAAGTTTTTTTAAAAATATCAATAACTTATTCAATTTACACAATAAAGATCGAGACATGGATTTCAATAATTTTTTGGTAAAATTGGTGTACGTGTTTCTCGTGAATCTCGTCTATAGCTACTGGTTGGAGTAAATCTGCGTTGTGTCGTAGATATTTCCCTGAAAGTTGCAAGATGGAATAGGCAATCGTTATACAGAAGAATTATATATTTTTTTTTACCATATTAACATACCTATGCATGAAATTCCGACGCTTTCTCGGCCACAAATGAAACGCCCCATATATCAAAGGATTTACCAAACTGTTGCTCATACCAAAAAAGAAGATAATGTTTTGTAATTCATCGCTAAACTGAAAATGTCGAAGATCTTTATTAATTCCTCAAACTATATTTGTAAACTATATTTATAACGGTCTTAATACATCTAATGCAAGTAAACGATATTTTTATATTTTCAAGAAATGTGAAAATGTTTCTTATATTTGCTAAAATTTATTATCATATTATATATAGATCTTCTTCGTTTTTTCCACGATGCATTCAATTTATTAAATTTTAATTTTAAATATCTTAAATATAATATCTATATCTTTAATAAAAAAAAGCGAAGAAATCAAGAGGATGTCTTAAAATTTTCCAAATTGGAAATCTCTCATTTTTTTTTTCAAAGAAGTACAAAAATGAAATATTTATGATGATTGATGAAAATATATGAGAAAAGTGTTCATTATTTCAATAAGAAGAGATAAGAGAAGAGAATTTTTTCACGAGATGAGTAAGAAAAAAAAAAATTTATCCAGAAAGGGAGAAAGAGAAAAAGAAGGAAAAATTATTCATTATGATAAAAATACTCACATGTTTGTCGGGAGAAGAGAACATAAATATAATCATCATTGTGTAATACGGTGTCCACCAAAATATAAAGGCAGTTACTATAACGATGCTGATTCTCAATGATTTAGTTTTTGCTCGATACATTAATTTTCTTCGATTTACATCTCCGTTTACGTGGCATATATCGTTATTGGCCAATTTCACTTTGAACATTCTTTCGCTCCCTGAAAAATTATTTTTCTCGTAACATGGCTCGAACAAATAATACGTACAAGGAAAATGATTGGAGATAGATCTATTAACGAAACGAAATTGAAAGAAAAAAAAAAAAAGAAAAAAAAGTACTGTATATACAATCTTTCCTAATCTTTTCAAAATTTATATCTCTTACGATACTCACGAGATATTGTAATTATGGTGAAAACGTAGGTGGCGATGAGGATGCCAAGAGGTAGAAGAAACATGGAAAACAAACCGAACGACACGTAGAGCTGTTCCTGCCAGGGCTCTGTGTAAAATCCATAGGTCACGCATTGCTCGAATTTTTCGACGAACGGCCCTTGGGCAACGTGGAATATGATAATCTGAAAATATCAAATTGTCGTGTATGTATATTTCGCATATACGTGTTCGGATTCAATGCAATTTTATTCTGAAATGAATTAATAATAATTTTGCAATTGATCGATTGAATTGTATTTTATAAATCTGTACGATATCTGTACATCTCTTGAGAAATATTATCCACGTGTAGATATATATATATATATATATATATATAAAAAGAAGGAAATCATCGTCAATTATGTAACGATTAATTATAGGCAATTTACAATTTTAAACTCCTCTTTTTTTTTTAAGAATTTTTTTTTGAGTCCGCTCGTCTCGATTTGCATTTTTGCGTTGGACTTTTTCAATCGGTCAAATGAAGAGATTACGCGAGAAGTTAGCACATCGAGTTTAATATAACAAGATAGAAAAATTTATTAAATTATTTTGGAGAAATTTTAAAATTCAAAATCGATTATAACAAAGATTAAAGAAGTAATTATTTTAAAAGGGATTTAAAAAAGATATTTAAAAAACTAGTTAGTCTATTTTACGTATAAATACGATTGTTTTATTTCAATCATTTCATGCTCGTTTGTGAATTTTTCTCTCTGAATCCCAAGAGTATTTTTATTTGTAATTATTTTCGTATATACATCCACAATGCAACGATCTGTGTGTTATCGATCGTAATATCGACTCTCGATGTGTGAATTTG